TTGCTACTGTTCTAGCTAGTGATATCAGAGCAGGCTTGTCCTGGGCTAAGTAAAAGCTTGGCAGGGAAGTTTGTGTGTAATGATCAAATTCATCTGAAATGTACTTAACTTAAAAACTCTATCTAAACCCAGATTTGGGCAGGTTTGTTGAATGCATTTCTGGCTGTACTTTGCTTAGCCCTTATCTGTGCTGTCACAGTCATAGAGCTGCAGAGTCGCTGTTACTTGAGGAGGTACCTTTGTATGCTTTCCTGAAATGCCTGAACATTGATCTGATAGCAGATGTGATGTGGAGAAAAGCTTGGTGCTCCAAAACCACTGTTCTTACTCTATTTGTGAAATGTGTTATTCTACTGATAACTAAATTGTGGTTCCTGTGTTCATCTCTAGGTGGTGCTTTCCTTTATAAAGAATTTCCGTTAAGATCAGTACTGAGAGGTCAGAGATGGAATGAATGTGCTCAGCAGCAGCATTTGTCTCTCATACACTGGTTGCATCTTATGTAGCATACTGCTAAAATATCTCAGTGTCTCTAAATGTATTACCCATGGTATTTGCTTGGCTATCAAATTTATATCTTAGTTGCCTTCCAGTCTTTCACTTGGTTTGCTTGGAGAATTGGGAGCAGGAGTGGAAATGACTTGTAGGCAGCAGTGTCTGGGAAAACAGCTGAAATAATCTTACAGCGATTTATAATGAGCAGAGGATCTTGATTTTTCTTCCTGATTTTTGCCAGTAAAGTGAAATAAAGAAGGTAAAGAAGTATAAATCATTTTGGGAAGCGGAGCTGGGTTGAATGCTTCCAGTGTGACAATTATCCCTAGCAAAAAGTGTGTGTTGTGCAACAGCTCTCCAACAAGTTACCAGGCATGCTGTTTCTTTGTCACTTGCTTTTTCAGGACTATTTTTTCAAACCAAACTGAAGTTCACTTTAGGCCATTGGAAAGGAGTGCTTTCTGTGTGCACATGAGGAAGAACTAGTCACTTGACTCTTGGTTGAACTGCTGAGTTCTAGTTTGCATGAGTGAAAAATGAACTTCTTTAATGATACAGTGAAAATAAGTATATGGAGTTGTGCTTTTCCTTTTTATCTGCTCAGATCTGGTGAAGAAAGCAATATTTGCCTTGTGAGCTCTTCTTTGGCCAACACTGAATAGCTGAAGGAACTGAGAGGCCAAGGGCCACAGTATTCTGCCTGTAACAGCTCACAGCTACCTAGCTGTGCCAAGGTTATGGGCACTTACTCTCTGTCAAAAAAAAAAAAGCCCCATGTCTCAAACGTACTCATTTCTTGCAGTGTTTCGTTCAGAGTATAAAGAATTAAAAATCCCTGGTCCCTGGACTTGCCACCTCCTCTTCAATACAGGTCTCAGAACTGCAGCCCCTCCTTTGCTTTGTACTCATTTCTTGCAGTGTTTCGTTGAGAGTATAAAGAATTAAAAATCCCTGGACTTTCACTGCCACCTCCTCTTCAATACAGGTCTCAGAACTGCAGCCCCTCCTTTGCTTTCAAGGCTTTTGAAATACATGTTTCCTTACTCTCACTGGTAAAAATGACCCCAACAAACACCAAAGCCTATCATTCTCCTTTAGTAAGTGGGGTAATGGGTTGCTGCGCTGTGCAGAGAGCTTTACGTCTGTCCACCACTTACTGAAATCATGTGTTCTATCTTCCAGATTCCGACCTGAGCATGCGGACGCTCAGCACACCAAGTCCAGCATTAATATTTCCACCAAATTCCCCTGGTTTTCAAAATGGCAGAGGCTCGTCGACGTCTTCGTCCTCAGTCACTGGGGAAACTGTTGCCATGGTCCACTCACCACCTCCAACCCGTCTCACACATCCGCTCATCCGGCTGGCATCCAAGCACCAGAAGGAACAGGCCAACATAGACCGGCTGCCCGACCACTCCATGATCCAGATATTCTCCTTCCTGCCCACCAACCAGCTGTGCCGCTGTGCCCGCGTGTGCCGCCGCTGGTACAACCTTGCCTGGGACCCCCGGCTTTGGAGGACTATTCGCCTGACCGGCGAGACAATCAACGTAGACAGGGCTCTTAAAGTGCTGACGCGGAGGCTTTGTCAGGATACTCCCAACGTATGTCTCATGTTGGAGACGGTAATTGTTAGTGGCTGCAGGCGGCTCACAGACAGAGGACTCTACACCATTGCCCAGTGCTGTCCAGAACTGAGGAGACTGGAGGTGTCTGGCTGTTACAACATATCCAATGAGGCAGTCTTTGATGTCGTGTCACTGTGCCCAAACCTGGAACACCTGGATGTGTCAGGTAACAGGAAGTGTTTCAATACAGATGCCTCTGATTCTGAAAGCATCACACTTGTCAAACCCCTGGCTCCACAACTGCACACTCCTTTTCTGTGTTGTCTGGCACTCCTGCTTCGAAAGACTCCTAACACAGTACCTGTGAGACATTCGAAGCAGGAGTGCCAGACTCCTAACACAGTACCTGTGAGACAGGCACCACTAGAATATCAATGCCCTTAATGTGAGCAGCACCTTTTGAGTGGCCAGGCCTCCTCCAAAGGAGGTGAGCTAGCAGAGATGGCCCATTCAAATAGAACAAGTACCTTGTACAGATTTTTGCACAAAGCACCCATACAAGAGCCCATGTTGCAGGAAGTGCTACATCATGTGGTGAAGGCTAGTTACTTCAGCAAAATTTGTTTTATCTTTATCATACACACAGAGAGATATATGTAATTTATATGTAGATTATATACATGTAATGTATATATCTGTAATCTGGTGATTACAGATATAAGTGCAATATAAGTGACTGAGGAATAACTCAGTGGGCTTTTTTCTTGGTATTTATCAGTCATCATCCCTAGCTAAACTTCAAGGTCCCCTTGTTTCCATTGCTATTTTAACAAGACTTAACTAGCTTTTTTCTCTTCTCTTTCTTCTCTTTCTTCTCTTCTCCTTTTCTCTTTTCTCTTTTCTTTTTTCTTTTTCTTTTTCTTTTTCTTTTTCTTTTTCTTTTTCTTTTTCTTTTTCTTTTTCTTTTTCTTTTTCTTTTTCTTTTTCTTTTTCTTTTTCTTTTTCTTTTTCTTTTTCTTTTTCTTTTTCTTTTTCTTTTTCTTTTTCTTTTTCTTTTTCTTTTTCTTTTTCTTTTTCTTTTTCTTTTTCTTTTTCTTTTTCTTTTTCTTTTTCTTTTTCTTTTTCTTTTTCTTTTTCTTTTTCTTTTTCTTTTTCTTTTTCTTTTTCTTTTTCTTTTTCTTTTTCTTTTTCTTTTCCTTTTCCTTTTCCTTTTTCTTTTTCTTTTTCTTTTCTACATATATGTTTGCTTAGTGGTTTTCTTCTCTTTCTTTCACCCATTTACAATGCATTATTCCAGCTGTTTAGAATGTTTTAGACAATTTTCCTTAGACCTGCTATGGAGAAATAAGATGTTTTTTCCCAAGGTCAGCTGCACCAAATTTCCTCTCTGCAAGTAGGTTGGCACTTAATGGAGAGGATGTAGCCAAGCAGAACACTGAAGCAAATTTGCTGTTCAACATTTATTTTGTGATCTCATTTGTTATCAGTCTAATGCTGTTATTAATCATCCAAAGCAGATTTGCCATTGCGGAGGTACCAGTGGCAAGAAGCAGGATGGAGTGGGGGATAGGAAGCAATGCTATTGAGTCACTAGTACCCAGATAAACAGATTTTTCTAAGGCTACCTCTCTGGTGTACACTGATTTGCTTTCTTTTCTCTGACCTTTTTTTTTTTTTTAAGGTGATATATCCAACTCACCTCACTCCTAGGATGGCAGAGTGTCATGGAAGTCATCAAAACAAAGAGCAACAAATCAGAACTACTCACTTTTTGTCATTGCTCTCTGAAACCACCAGGTGATAAGGAGTCTCTGTAGGACTCCAGAGGAGTCCTGTCCCATGGGGTCTATTCATAGTGATCCTGCATATTAATTACTTATTGTTGGTACATACTGATATTAGTTCTGGATTGCTAACCATTCAGGTTAACACTCAGATTGAACCATCTCCAACACCAGGAGAAAAAATGTTTTTGTCTGTGAGATTTAAACCTAGAGCTTTGAAGCTCACACCCCAAGTGCACCTGGGGGCTTGTAGGTGGCTGAAAATGCTTTGGTCCACAGCTCCTGTTGATAGATATGCTATAGACCAAAGATGACTTTTTCAAAAGCAGGTACAAGGAAAAGATGATACCAGGTCTTAAAACAGGTTCTTTTGAGGTTTGTCTTCATTTGTGGTTTCCCCCAGACCTAGAAGGTGGTGTCTGCCCCTAAGAGCTCATCAGTTTGGTGCAAAGTGTGTAGAGGGCAAATAAAATATCTGTCTTCCTTGAATTTTCTCTTCTCAGTGGAATAGGAAAGTACTTTTACTCTCACTTGTTTCTAAGTTGTCCGTTCTTTTTGGAGCAAGTGAAGGAAAAATACTGGGTTTGAACATGCTCAGAAGTCAAAGTGTTTGAATTCAGATAAGGATTTTGCTGCATGTGCCTGTATATGAAGTGAGGATAATCAAATTCTGGACTCTTGTTATGAGACCACTTTTTTTCATTCTGATGTGGGTAATTTTGGAGGATGTTTTGGAAGCAGGATTTCATTTTCCCCTCCTTTTGTCTGTAGTTACAAGGAAAAGGCTTGCACCTACATGTTCAAGCAATTCTCAGGGCTGAAGTGATTCACTGGTTTGGTTCCATATTGAGCAAGAGAAGTTAGGTACGTGTACTGGGGAGTGACACTAGTTGCTAGTTAATTAAATCCCAGTTCACAGTTGTACATCTAGTTGAATCCCTTTTCCCCTTGGATGGCTACTTGGCAGCAAAAATGTACCAAAATCTTTAATGTAAAAACCAGATGTTCACATTAACTTTAAGAGCTTTCTGCAATGTAAGTTCTGTCACTCTCAGCATCCACTTTGTGGGCAGGTCTGAGATATCTCTAGAAGTTGGTTGAGCTTGACTGCAAGTTATTATCTAACACACTAGCCAACATTTTTCTTTAATCTGTTTGGAAGTTTCTCCTCCCTTTTAAAAATCAGTTATACTAACTTTATGGAAAATCCTGTTAGAAGAGCTTTGTTTTTAGATTTTTTTATTATTTCGGACAGAAAAATTGTTGCAGGCCCAGGAACTTGTCCTTTTGCCTAAAAATCAGGTGGTTCTATATCAGCATGGACTCTTTTTCTGGTGAAACCATTTTGAATATCCTTCCCATGAAATATTTTACAGTGTAGCCAAAGTAACTAGACAAGGCAATGCTAAGCTTGTCAAAACAGTGATCACACACTGATGTATGTGACTCCAGCCCTGCTGTGAGACTTCTGACCCATTCACTTTCTAATTATGGTCATTAAAGCTTCTTGGATTCTCAGCAGACATAACGTTCTCCTTGGCCTCATGGACCAATCATTCTCACTTAGCCAGACATTAAAATTGAGTTCTGGTCAGAATATAAAATACCCAGACTGACTCCTTAATCCAGCAACCTCCTCGGCCAAGTGCAATAGCGATAGCTATGTCAGTTTCAGCAGAGCTCTGCCTAGGTACCAGCTCCTTCTGTGGAAAAGGCTCAAGGATGGGGACTCCTGTCATGCATTTTGTACCACCTGCTCCAAAGAATATTCTAGAGGTGACATTTTTACACCATTAGTATTAAATTGCTTGCCTTCAGAAAAATCACTTTCCATTACTGAGCGTAATGTAGTATGCAAAACTTACCTGAAGGCAAAAAGTATCTCAAAAGATTGCAAGATAGCATAGATGGATCTGAAACACGGACTGATGAGGAACTAGCATTCAGTTTCAAGATGTTTGCTGAATAGAATGTTTTGCTTCTGCATGACCTGTGGACTATTTTCCTGTTTCATTGTGTGAGACCTAAGGTAAAATTTGCACCTGTTCAAATAAATTTGAAGCCTAAATTAAAGATCCAGTGCAAATTCAAATGATGAATGTAGAAATCTGATTGCAAGTGGTAAACTCTTTCACATCCATATCCTCTGCTTCTTATAGCATATGTGTGAGTCCACAGGGTTATCTCAAGGAATTTTTTTCCCTTTTTGTTTTTAAGAAGCGAAGCATATTCATATCTTCCACTAAGCCTCTGGATTAGAATGTGTTCTATCAAGTGGTATGGGTTAGAGTCATTCATGTTTTTGAGGAGGTCTCCATCTATTTTCATGCACTTTACTTCCACACTACAGGATTTGTGCAGGATTTCTGATATGTGGAGCTCTAAAGTCATTGCTTTCTATGGGTCACTTCATTCTTCTTGGCCAATGTTTCAACAATACAGAAAAGGTGTCATTATACCTACCCGAGGGCACCTCTTTAGGCATAACCTGCAGAATTTGTCTGAGTAGAGATTTGCAGCTGAAGCTGTTGGGCCTTGATCACTAACAGGGACACCCTCCCTTACTTCTTGCAGCTGTTTCTAGCTATGCAAATGCAATGTGCCCAGCTAAAGTTGGCAGAACTAAAAATTTCCCTCAGGAGCATGAGACTGCCAGTTTGCAGTGCAGCAGAAACCGCACTTTCCAAAAAAAACTTTCACCCACCACCATGCACTGAGTGGAGGTTAAAAATGGGGAAAGTCTGTGAGCATGTTTTTCCTTTTATTCTAACTCTTTGTCTTTCCTTGCAAGGTCTGGTGTTTCTCCTCTAGTCTAGTTACCTCTATTAATGGCCAGACTTTCTCACTTGACACAGTTTTTTTCTGTCCGTGTCCTCCCATGCCCTTACCAGTCTGTTGGCTCCTGCTGACTCTCCCCATTCTCCTTATGTTATCTGAATCTTCACCCTTCAGCAAGTACATAGTCTTGCTATAGTTTCTCCTTCCCACATTGCAGGCTTGGGGCTGGATTCACATCTGTTCTCCAAATGCTTTTGGGAGGCTGGGTGGGGTTGTCTTTTTTATGATGAAGTTGGATGGTGAAAGAGCCTCTGATGTTGGTTTGCAAGCTCAGCCAGTCACCAGTGAGACTGACTTTGATCAAAAAACTGCATTTGTTGTCACGTAGTTCCATTTTTTCTAACCATCACTGGGTTTATATTGCAGCAATGGATCATAGACTGTCCCTAGATAAACTTAGAACCATAATTTTACATTTGGGCTATGGACAAAATCGGTGCATCACTTTCCCAGTGCTCAAAATCTCAAAGCAACCCCACTGACTCCAGTGGAGTTTATTTCCTCTGGCTCATCACCGCAAATCCAGACTAGTCAGTTGGGATTCTGCTCCTGCATCATGAAGATATCTTCATCGCATCCAGCACTCTATGTCATGCTCACCTTTCTGGTCTTGCTGTGTGATGTGTTTCTACTGCTGCTTAAATTCACTGTGTTTTTCCACCTAGGCTGCTCCAAAGTAACATGCATCAGTTTGACCCGTGAAGCCTCCATCAAGCTGTCTCCATTACACGGGAAACAAATCTCCATTCGCTACTTGGACATGACAGACTGCTTCGTCCTGGAGGATGAAGGACTGCACACCATTGCCGCTCACTGCACTCAGCTGACCCACCTGTACCTGCGCCGCTGTGTCCGCATCACCGACGAGGGTCTCCGCTACCTGATGATTTACTGCACCTCCATTAAGGAACTGAGTGTGAGCGACTGTCGCTTTGTCAGTGACTTCGGCATGCGGGAGATTGCCAAACTGGAGTCTCGTCTCCGATACCTTAGCATCGCTCACTGCGGCCGGATCACAGACGTGGGCATCCGCTACATAGCCAAATACTGCAGCAAGCTGCGCTACCTCAATGCGCGGGGCTGCGAGGGCATCACGGACCATGGGGTGGAGTACCTCGCCAAAAATTGCACAAAACTCAAATCACTAGATATTGGCAAGTGCCCTCTGGTCTCAGACACCGGCCTGGAGTTTCTAGCCCTCAACTGCTTCAACCTGAAGCGTCTGAGCCTGAAATCTTGTGAGAGCATCACCGGGCAGGGCCTGCAGATTGTAGCTGCCAACTGTTTTGACCTGCAGATGTTGAACGTGCAGGACTGCGATGTCTCTGTGGATGCTCTGCGATTTGTTAAACGACATTGCAAGCGCTGTATTATAGAGCACACCAACCCTGCTTTCTTCTGAAAGGACATCCCACACTTGTCATTACAATGCAGTATTAAAAACACTGATGTATAAACACACTCTCCCATATTCAGTAATGCTGTCTTTTCTGCCGCTCACGGGAGTCAGCTTTTCTTGTACATTGTGAGTGAGGGGGGGTTTCTAGAGGACTATTTTGTTTGCTTTTTATATGATCACTCTTTAAGGTGCCGTGGGTGTCCATGGAGAGGCTGCCTTAATGCAAAAGCAATGAGTGCTCAGCATCCCCAGTGGGGTGCCATTTCCATAAGACCCATGATCTTGTCCCAGGCTACAGTAGCTGCTTCCAAAGGAAATAGCACATAATCCCTCCTTTGGAAATGCTACTAAGCCATGTCAAATACATCTGAATTCCAGCTGTGCTTATGAAACTGACTATGCAATATGTGTCTGTGTTCCCCAACTTCTTCCAGTATGGCTGATAAAGCAGCCTCTTGTCTCCAAGTAGTTTCTCTTGGTTGAGAAATTCTCTACATTGTAGAATTCTCTACAATGGTAGTCATCCCTTGTAATCCCTCAGGAAATACTGAGTCATGTCCTTAAACATACTCGATTGAGACAGAATAAGACCTGATGGCCATTGCTGAGCACTTCTGCTGAGTCAATTTGGAGATTGTGCCCATGCATGGATTCTCTTGGAAAGCCTACCTCCAGGTTACTCATGCATCATCACTACTTGCCTTCATTTCTAAATTTGCCCTCTCCTGCATGTGTAGTACCACTCTCTGGTAGTAGATAGGGACTTCTGGCTCTGATAAGCAGTGATATATATTCACCTGAGTGAAGGAGAACAAGTAAGATATTGGTGGCCTGGTAAATGGAAAAGCCATCAAATCAGCCTGAGAAGCTGCTGTAATTCTGCAACAAGCTGAGACAGTACTGTAAGACACTGGGGAGACTCTGAGGCATTGTGTAGCAGCTTGCACGGGGCAGTCCCAATTGCTGCACTGCAGGGCTGTGCAGGGTTTTCTGTCACCAGAAAGTGTGTCTGTTCCTTCGCTGTATCTTTTCAGCCGCCGTGGCACCACTGCAGTTGACACTCCCAGGACAAACTAGGCACGTGTGTTGACGTAAAGTCAGTATGTGCCTTAATACACGTAGAAACCTGACCCTTTTCTGTGGAATTCCAGTTCAAGGGATAGAGGTCTGATCTCAAGACTTCATTAGCCTGATGTTAGGTAACGTATCTGGGGACAGAAAGGCTTAGAGTGTTCTTCACGTTAGATTTAGATTTTGTGAAACCTTGTCTGTGTGTGTTCCCCTAGGCTGGAGATACAGCTGCAGTTCAACAAGGAATTAAACACTGTCAGTGCTCTGTGACACTGGTGGGAGCCCGTGGTACTCTCATGGTCCTCTTGCTCTTGCATGAACAAGACTTTGGAGGTCCCCCCATCTCATTGCCTCCTTCCCCAGAGTGTGTGGTCAATTCATGGTTACTTTTTTCACAACTTTCTGGCAGCTGTTTCTCTGCATTTCGAGGTGTAATGCTCAGATCTGAAAGCCAGATACATGAGAAGTGATGATATTTTCAGGCAGGTCCCCAGTGCCTGACTGACAGGTGAATTCATATGTTCAGCTCAAACGCTGTAAGTGTCTCGTAAGAAGGGAAGCACTGTGTCTGGTTTTAATAAGCAGTAGTTCCATCATCTCCAGACAACAGTAATAAAGTCATTGATACAAAGTGAAAATCAATATGCTCAAGAAAAATGCATAACTGCTGAGGAAATACTTATAGCAATGCTCTCAAATTGAAAAAAAACTCCCAACAATGTTTTGGACATGTCCCTGCAGAGGGAACTTGTCCTACTGCTGCAAAAATTCCTATAACTTATGTATGTTCCTCCAGTTTTGAGTTTCTTAATATGCAGGATGTCATCAGCTCTGAATTATAAGTCAAATTGTACTAAAACAAAGAGGGCCATGGAAAATGAGTTTGTCATTGCTACTATTAGTGGTCAGTGACTAATACGGGGCGATACCATCCCTTGGCCAGTTAATATCACTTTGGTTTTCCTTTCTGTATTTTTAAAATTAGAGATTCTTCTCCAGCAAGTAATACAGTATATTTTCTCCGAGCCAGCTATACTCTCTGTTTATCCTTTATCTAAAAATGGCCTCAAGGAATTTAAATGTTGAGCCCATTCCTGAGGATGGTGGGATTTTGAGCCATTTGCACTCATGAAATACAAGGCCTCGTTAGTAACATTTAATTGTTTATTAAAAAAAAACTACTTTTCTGGCTATGTTAAATTGAGTGAATAGTGCTACATGGTTTCTAAGGTTTCTAATGTTTAAATTGGCCTGTACTGTACAAATCTCACTATAAAGCCTTAATTTGCTACCAAGAAATAAAGCAATATATTGGTAACTGATGAGTGTGCATCATCATTTGCACTCATTGATTAACTGCTAGTGAAAAAGAAAAGATTAAACACTTGTAAAACTTTTCTTGAAAGGTAGGTGGGTGAAGGAGCACATAAGCCCATCGGGTAGGTGACTATATTAAAAATGCAAAAAAATTGTTATAGATTATGACCTTGTCTATCTGTCTCCTTAAAATTTGAATTTCCTCATATTCTTCTATCCTGAAACATAATCAGAAACTAAAAGTATAAGTAAAAGAAAATCAGCATATAAAAAGCGCATGTATAAAAATTTCAGGAGGGCCTCTGTGTTGGTTTAAAGGCAAGTTAACATATTTGATGTGCAAAGTAAGGGTAGAGCACTTACTAGTGCAGTGTTGTCTTTTAAATGCTCTAAAAAACCTGGGAGGTACTGGTGGAAAATGAATAAAGGTAGGGGGTTTTTACGCCAAACATTTTTAAGTACGTAGTCTTACATGATCTGAGTTGGCACTTGGAGACTGCTACTTATTTCAAGAAAAATTGAATTAAACTCGTTGATACAGCTTGCCTGTTTTAACTTTTAACCTTTTTCCTATGTCTACTTGCAAAATGACAGGACCAGAAAAGAAACTGAAACAGTGTGTGTGGAGCTGAGTTTGCTGGAAAGGTTGCAAGATGTGACCGAAGTGTCTCCTAGTTTAAGGTTGGCAAGGACTATAAATTTCCTGAGCAAAAACATAGGTGATTCTTGAACCATAAAATTCAGGCTGAGGCACTGAGGCTACTTCTGCTCTGCAATAGCATGTGGTGATCTCATCAAAGAAAAGCAGGGATGAATCACATGAGTCAGGCTGGCATGTTGTTTATGTCTCTGGAATAACTTGTGCCCTGTAGAGAGAGGTCTCTTAGACAAGGCACATCTAAACTACCATGCACTGTGGTTATAGCCAAAACTCTGTATCTAGGTATTAATTCTTCCCTTGCCTTTTGTAAAAAGGGGAACTGTATTTTCCCTGTTAGCAGCATGAGATTGATGTGAAGTGCAATGCTTTTGCCTCTTTGAGCTGTGCTCATCTGGCTTACAAAATGCAAAACAGCTTCTGTTGGATGTCTTGGACTCAGAACCATGGTACAGATGGAAACCTTCAGTAGTGGCTTACGTGGTTTCTCAAAACTTCTAGACTTTGAACTGAAAAATTAAAAAGCTAGTAAAATACCTAATTTTAGCACTAGGCTTGAAGCCAGTCCAAACTCTTATTAAAAAGAAACAGTGATCATTTGGACTGCAGGCTGGCTGCTCCTCAGGTGCCAGTGTTAGTTTAGAGGGGAAAAGTGCTGTGACAGAGTTGGTGCATGGCTCCTCTTCCCCAGCATTCCCCAGGAAAGTAACCTGCCCTCAGTTTTTTATAATGTTGTCAGTTTAGATATTCATGCTGAAAATTCCCATGCTGGGCTTTGAAAATGTTAGTTGAAATGGTTCATCTGGTTCTGTAAATAAAGTTGGAGGAAATGTCATTTTGCTGGTGTTAAACTCCAGGTGACCTTTCCTTTGAAAATGGTCCATTGCTCTTCATCTCCTCTAAGGCCTTCAGAGTGAAAGCGTGAGCCTTGCCAGGAGGTCAGCTTTGGGACAAGGATGTGTCTTACTGATACCCAGTAAATCTCACCCAAATTGAGCTACATTACTTGTCTTTGCACATCTTCAACTCTGTGACCAGGTTGAAAAAGGGCATGCTCAGATCTTTTGGAGCTTGTAGTCTGGCAAGCCCGAGATTTGGCAAAGCTAAGAGGCGTTTATCACTCTGGCAGTGTGAAGGAGGAAATGACCTGAATTATATGGAAGCTGCCTGGAAAATCAGAGCAGGGTTGAAAGATGGGGTTTTGAGAACTGGGACAAGAAGGATGAAGGAGATTTCCTGGGCAAAGGGGCCTGGGACTGAGATGATAAGAGACTGAATGATTTTCAGGGAAGAAACTGGGGATGGAGTTAAGAGAAGTGGGTTTGTATGAATTGTTGAGCAGGGAGAGTTGGGCTAGAGGAAGTGTAAATACCGGAGAATGACATTTGGGATAGGAACATAAACATGAATAAAGTTAGCTGAATGTCATGCAAATACAGTACACTCCCTTGGCACAGGCTCTGAGAAAGACCAACAAACTCTTTCACTGAGGATGCCCCAAATTTGAAACAGCCTTTCAGTAATGAAATAGTAATTTTGGATTGAATGCATCTGATAGCTACCTTTTCTTTTTATATTTTTATATTTTGTGAAGCCAGAAAAATCTTCAGAGGCAGAACTTTTGCCTTTCCCAGCAAATGTATATAGAGGCCTGACAGATTGTCAGCCTCAATGTCTTGTTCCTGCCATTACACCTTTGTGTGAGGTAGCCTACTGAGCAGAACAAGGCAAGGCAGGTTTGTAATGTCTATTCTTCTCTGGCACTGTATTTCAGCAACACCAGCTGCTCAACTTTGCTGAAGTGCAGGCATCAGTGTGAAGCCAAATTCGTGCCATTTTGATGACTGTTAGAGGGCATAATAATCAAAGGTTCAAGTTACAGCCAGGCGGTATACATCAGAATTCAAACTTAGCTTAAGAAAAATACATTTAACTGAACAGCATTACTGCATGCAAT